GTTAATTTTAAGATTTAATCTCTTTATTGTCATTATACTATTTCGGACATTTCGAATAAATTACAATTTTTGAGGTCACAGAAGGTTTATAGTCATTTTGTTGTTTTGTCACATAGACGGGGTAAATTACTGGAGCCGTATTTTAAATTTATTGAAGTTGCTTAGTGAATAATTTATAAGGTATTGCTTAAATGGACTAGTAGAGTTGTGAGATGTATGCGTTTAAAATGTTTCGGTCAAAATTAAAAAACGGTTACTTTGGTTTTTTTCCTGTAAAAAGAATAGAAGTATAACACCTTTGGGCTGATGGGCTTTGCCGACATCACTCGCCATAAATATCTAAGCTAAGAAATGAAGATGAGATAAGAGTCAGAGAGTGTGAAAGCCAATACAAAAAGGCTTAGAATAGCATCATACCTTCTTTTCCCATGGGTGTCATAAAAAGCGATTATCGAAATCAGCGGGGAACGGAGAAGCGTTCTCAGAATATAATACCAGCCTACTGAGTTTCTCGCCGGATTTTCTCAGTGGGTCGCGTTTACGATCCGGTGGTAGATTCTGCGAAGCACTGCTCTTGCTAGGGCCAGGGTTAGCAACACTCCAGGTTAAAGCCCCGTGAGCTCTCCTACACGTCAAGGAGAAGCTGAAATAGCCTCTCAAGGCTATCAGCATAGGTAGGGGGAAAAAAAGAAAAAAAATCAGTCAAGAAGCAGCTACGCATTGAAGTCTGCTTTGAAGGGTGGAAAGCCATACATTACAATTGAGACTTCAACCCCATGCCTTGAGGAGGGCGGTAGCATTCACTTGTAATTCCTATGGACTCCGGTTACCATTTCACGTTAGGTGGTGACGAATTTAAAAAGTCTTATGTCCTCAACCGTCTACAGGAAATAACAAAAAAATTATAATAATAATAATAATTTATTTATTAACCTTGAAAACATTTACACATACAGTTTGCTAAAAACTCTCCACACTAGCCACTGCCTGTAACTTACTTCATAAATTCACTTTTTCGGATTATCATTAACAAAAACTACTAACTTAGGAGCAGATACTTCGCAGACGCCACGCATCAAGCATTTCTGTCTGAAACTGAATCATATCAGCATCTTCTATTCTTCCTTCTGATCATCGGTCCATTGTAGTATTTTCGTCACCTTATCTCACTACTAAACTTCAACAGCTCATTTACTAATCATTGCTAGGATAAGTTCCGTAATCAGCCCTATGATAAGTGCCCCGTCGAACAAGGTCCAAAAAGTCTTGACTGTGCTGCTGGAATTACTAACGTGCTTGTAGACCGGTGACCACGCACATCACTAGGTGTAACGATCATCTTTCTTCGGAAGGAACAAATCATTTGACACAATCATGATTTATTTCTTAAATTTGATCATTAATTTATTCCGTAATATAGCTAGGACAACTAATCCGAAGAAAACACTATGGTTTAATAAAGATATCATAAAAAAAAAATTGGTTTAAATGTTGATAATGATATTAAAAAATATACTTACTTAAAAATTAACTCTACCACCGAATCTCCTCCATGTGGTTGATAAATGTGAAGAGTGTACGTCGAGTTGTAAGCCCGCATATATAAGCTACTTACATACGTGCGGTGATTTGCATGCTCGCCCATACAGATTACATCCCTGATAACTTTTATGACTGCACTTAAATGCTAATTGCGACATAAGCTATACTCTGTTCAAAAAAATAACAAATTACCACTTTAGATTAGTAGTCGATGTGAAATTTAAAAGTACCTATCTATTTTTTATTGATTCCCACAGGAAATAAATTGACCCTAAATAGAAAATTCCATTAATATAGATAAGATTGCGAATGATCGTTCACGCAATTAAAACTCCCCACATGATTTAGTCTTTTCGGAAATTATTTTCTCGTCGCAAGCCATATATTAAGAGAGATAACACCAAAAGAATTAATTTTAAATAGCATTTCGCGACAAAAGAAACAATATATCTATTGTATCCGCAATTAATATGTCGATTCTTAAAAAGCCGAAAGAGATACGTTTTAAAACAAATAAATATTGAGGTGTAGCTTGAGTGTATATCTATTATTAGAGGATGATATTAATTGCGTTCGTGCACCTGGGCCTCGCAGGTGACTTGTTTTATTTTAGGGTCAGCAGTTTTGACACCGCGCGTGATGTAACCACTTTTGGATTGTGGGAATTGACACGTTTTTGAAAATGTTATCACTAATTGAATTGTATTACTGAAAACTTTAAATGTATGTTTAATTATAGGTTAAAATGGAATAACGTTTGATACTGGCATTATACACTCCAATTAAGGCTTTAATTTCATGACTCAAGGTGGGTGGCATTGACGTCGTGATATTTATGAACCAGGTGAATCCATTCATCCATCGGTGCAATAAAAAACGATATAAACATGATAAGACACCAGCCTTCTCGTAGACAGGCGATCTTAAACTGACGAACCTGCGAGGAAACCTAGATAGATTTATCAAGGTTATTCAAGTTGAATAATATGTATGTGGTTAAATAGGAAGGCCGGCTGGTGTCTTAATATCGAATGATACTATTTCTAATGTTGAAATCCTCCGGCATCCACAATGTTAACTAAGGAAATACAAACGTACTTTGACAATAACGCATTGTGCAATGAAATCAAATCTGAAAAGGTGAGTTTTAAGCTGTAGGTACATTGTGAGCTCGCACGGGTGGGTAGATAACACAATTCTGTTTGTTTCAGTGTTTCGTTCCGGTTTCAAATGTTTAATAGCCGTTAACACTAAGCACAGTTGAGATTTCGGTCTCATAACTCAAGGTGTGACGCCGTGGTTCCGATTCACACCTGGTCAAATGAGCTCGTCCGCCCGTATGAAAAGTCAAAAACTTATTAGCACCAAAACGTCATTACGAACATCATTCGCGGCAATAAAAACGCTAATTGTTGTTGTCTTTTTATTTTATTTTTATTGCCTAGATGTGTGGACGAGCTCACAGCCCACCTGGTGTTAAGTGGTTACTGAAACCCATATACACCTACAACGTAAATGCGCCACACAACTTGAGATATAAGTTCTAAGGTCACAGTATAGTTACAATGGCTGCCCTACTCTTCAAACCGAAACGCATTACTGCTTCACGGCAGAAATAGGCGGAACGGTGGTACCAACCCGTGCGGACTAACAAGAGGTCCTACCACCAGTAATTACGCAAACTATAATTTTGCGGGTTTTATTTTTATTATACGATGTTATTCCTTCACCGTGGTAGTCAATCGTGAACAATTGTTAAGTACGTCTTTCCTTAGAAAAATTGGTACCCGCCTGCGGAATTCGAACACCATTGCACCGCTATATACGAATACACCGGACGTTCTATCCTTTAGGCCACTACGACTTCAAATTAAATTATATATATATATATATATATAAGAAATGTGCGTAATAGACAAAAAATAACATTGACTTCTGATATAAAGAGATTATTTCGATACAATTACAACCTTTATAGGGGTATTTGTGGTAGCTTCTTTTTATTTTTATTTTTATTGCCTAGACGTCTACCACGAGCTTGCCTGGACGTACACAACCAACTTGTGACTGCCGCCAACCTCTTTAAGACATAAGGACTAGTGTTATTTTGTTTAAATACAAACAAGAGAAAAACACAAATTGAGCTTTAAAAATTAAATTTATATTCATTAAGGAACCCAAGTTTACAATACACCAATTATTCTCACTCAAAAGATCTTAAATACGAATATAAGATTAATCGATCAGCGATGTTGACAAATTATCGGTATTATTATCTATTTATTCGAACTTCTTTACTAACTTCAATTTTTTTTTTACACATAGCTTTGTATTTTTCTTTATACTGCACAGGAGTGGTAATCACCGCCCAAGTTATGTGAACTGCAGAACTAGAGGTAGATACGACTAATAAGATGATATTAAAAATTGTATTATTATATTACTCCACATTCCCAGGAAATATAAATATGTATAATACGTTCCATTATATTGTATCGTTTTGAACTCAGCATGTTGTATTTATTGGCAAACCCATCTTGGAATATTTTATATCATGTGCGTTTGGAAACTAGCGAGAACTAAAATAAATGTGTGATCATGAAAAATCTACTAAAAAGTTAACGTAGACTGAATCAACTTAATGTTTGTGTTATATCCTCCGTTCTAACGCCCACATAGACACCTCAGTCGTTGAATATCACTTGCACGCTGAGAATAGTGATCCGTGTGCTTAGTGCGAGTTTTTAAACGTTCTCGATAGCGTAAAAGTTAACCCAATTTTATATGCAGTTCGAACAGAGCCCCTAGCGGCAAACGTAGGCGTTTTTTTTTCCCTACCTAAGCTGAGAGCCTTGAGAGGCTATTTCAGCGTAACCCTAACTTTTGTAGGTGAGCTCACGGGGCTCAAACCTGATGACGTTGCTAACACGAACCCTAGCAAGAGCCGTGCTTCGCAGAATCTACCACCGGATCGGAAACGCGACCCACTGAGAAGATCCGGCGAGAAACTCAGTGGGCTGTGTCTGAGAGTTAATTTACTCGTCGAGCCTTTCGTCGCAAGCGACGGGTTCGACGAAAACGGTGACCGGGCAAACGTAGGCGAACGATTCCATTCCATACAAATATGAGCTAGCTTTTCGCTATCGAGAACGTTAAAAAACTCGCACTAAGCACACGGGACCTTATTTGATAACGGATATTGTAGAGATAGCTTCTATCGCGATATCAAAAATTGCAAGCAATATGCATAATATTCCGAAAAACATTTGTTTTCATATTTGAAAAAATACACACTAATCGTCCTAATAATGCGTATGGGCTGTAAAAGTGCACGGATAGCACAGTTAAAAAATATTATGAACCTATAATTAACGCCATCTGTCGGATATAATAATTACAAGTCATCTATATTACGATTCTAGTAGATGGCGTTATGCTACTTTCGGATCTTAGTAAAAATTGTATTGTAAATTTCTTTACTCAACCGATAACTTTAACATAAATTTTGACAAAGATCTATCATAGAAATTGTTTTAAAAAATATATTTTTCATAACAGGCATCTAACTCGTCACCTCTGAGTCACTGCTTAAAAAATATCTTTCATAAGTCACACAAAGAAGATCAATGTAAATTTCAACATTTATAGCTACTACTCTTACTACAATATTAAATGGTAAGTATGATTTAATTGAGAAATATATTTTGTGGAGGGTAAGTCAATACAATATCACTGTTTAGACTGAAAGGGTAGTTAGGTGGATAACACAATTCGAACGCCTGAACATCACCTACCACGCACATAATTAATAAAGCCACTAATGCCATCTAGTTAATTTTTAATTCACTATCAACTTGATATTCGTTCATATGATTATAGAAGTTAAGGTATAAGGTACGGTAATTAAGTATATTAATTAGGAACAAATTCGAAAATTCGTCAACAACGCTGCAGATCGGTAGTAACACAGTTAACAGTTTCCAGCGCGTGATTTGCAATACATATGTATATTAATTTGTTTTTATGTAGCTACGGTAACTGCGCGTAAGCATCCGATACGATCGCGCCACCGGCATGTGCACAACTACACGCCTACACATAAATATCGTGAACATTACTTACGACTATTAAATCGTTTTTACATTGACCGATACGATATCGTTATCTCGTCGCCGATAGTCTGATGTTAAAAAGTTTACAGGCGCCGTCAGTAGCTCAACATAGGAAAGTTTTTGTCTGAGACGATAATTTGCTATCGTATCGGACGATGAAAAAAACGTACGTATACACCTTCGATGTGTAAATAAAACTAGACAATTTTATTAGTCCGATTTTATCGAATTTTATTAACTACTCCCGAAGTCGAAATGGAATAAACACCAACATAAACAGATATCGCCATCTCACTATAATAATGTTTTTCCAACACGTAATATACTTTTTAGAAAGGTAGTGGGTAGGCGGTGTCTGCTTTACGCGCGCATCAGCTGATTTGAACTATTTTGCTACTTCGTGAAAAATATTGTTTTACATCGAAGGCGAAACGTATATATATACATAGAGCGCTACATTATGAAAAAATATGTTTTTCTAATCTGCGAATAATATTTTTATGTTTCAATACATCTAGGTGGGTATCAGTACTTAAGCTGGCATAATAGTCAAAATATACAAGTCTAAATATACATAGAAAGTGATAGGATAACAACGAAGTGATAAGAACCAATATATACAAATTACAAATACATTGCATATTGAGTCACTCAGAGTAATAGTGAACATTTTTCGACAAATTCATATTCTCATTTATACCTTATATATTGTATATGTATACTATATAGATTGAAGGAAATAATAATTTGTAGTCATAGATAAATTAAACTTTCTGTAAACAGAGATGTTTTCTTCCCATAGCCAAAATAAACTTTTTTTTAATTGATCTGGTGCTTATTATCTTTGATCATAGATATTAAATTCTTTTTATTTTAATACATTATATCATAATTTGTAAAGTTCATCGAGAGCTATTAAAAATCCCGCCTGTTTAATATTACTCCGGTTGACCATATTTTAGTTTGTACAATGAGATCGTGTCTGGTATCAGTTAACACATGTTCTTGAATAACCCTTAAATTAACAAATATCTTATTTAACTCTTTGGATATAAATACATAGATGAAAAACCGTCACAATTTATATAGAACTTATTATTTATAGCGGGACAATAGAAACACACACCTCGAAATGTTGAAGTCACTCATGACGGCGGTATTTCAATTTTTTTTAAACCAGCAACACTAAAGGGTACGATTTCAAATAATAAAATAAATATAAGTAATTTAATTTTATATGTTATGGATGGTTATCTTGTTCAAATGGTATACTTGAAAGAGTCAAAGGGTAAATTTGTTTATTCAAGAATATATTTAGTGTATCTAAGAAACACGGTCCAAGGTAATAATAATTATACTCTAAAACAACAATATCGGTCATGGAATATCATTCGATTACATTATTTTAAATATCGATTAAAATTCTACACACAAATAGTATTTGAATAGTATAGAGAGATAACGTTTTATAACGTTTATATGCTGAGCGGAAGGAAACATGACTTCAACTAATCTAGAAGTAGCACTGTTAAAGATACTGTTTAAATGTACATCGAATGTTTTTTTTTAATTGTTTCCAAATTTAATCGAATCCAAAATCGATTTTAAAACGATTTTTCCGTCAGTGATTGCGTGAAAACTATGAACTATAGTTTTCACGCAATAACGATCCGGCTGTAAAAAAAATGTTTTTTAAAATTATTAGATTATTGATGTAGATTATATCTCACTCCGATGATAATTGGGCAAAAGGAGAAATAATAATGATATCAATACAAACATTATGACAAATTAGATTTTAAATTAACTTACAATGACTGTTGTTCTATTGTCAATGTCTGTTCACTTCCGTTTCCTTCCGCAATAGAATAAAGTCAAAAATTGTAAGAGTAATATAGTTTAGACATTAATTTACAAGACAAATGATTAAATTTCAGAAGAGCAATTTAATTAATGGCCTTTACTTTAAGTTGGATACCATAATTACCTTGTGTTGTAAGCACCGTTTAAGTCATCACTCAGAAAAAGTCGCACATAATAATTTGATCTTTCAAAGATAATTATTATAAGAATCGAGATTTCTCAGAATAATAAACTTAGACGGCAGCGATAATTTAAAATTTTCATTAAATACGATATTATCATAACACATAATCTAATCACATATAAGCTTTACTAATTTATTTTACTTCACTAACGATGTAAGCCTCTTCATACCAGATTTGGAGCCTTTTGTCTTCTTGGTTTGCTCTTTTACACCCCTGAAAATTATCGTTATTTTTACGATTACTATTATAATATAACATATTTTGTTTTTATTACATAAGCACATACTCAATAAGTTTTTTTGTGTTATGGGTAAACCAACCTAGTGGTTTTACAATTTGTAATAATGTTGTATGTATGTGTATAATAAAAATCTTACATTTATTTCCGTTATCTGGTACCTGTAACACAAGTTCTTTACGAACTTATCACGGGACCAGTTAACGTGGCGTGATTGTTTAAAAAAAATAAAAATATTATGTGATTCAAAATACTTTTATTGTGTTTTTTTTTATGTTTTTTTTATTGCTGTAAAAGATTTCCGGCGATCCGTGAACTTAAATTCATTATCGACAATCTGAATACTTTTCTTCCGTACAGAACTCAACGGAAGTAATTGTGTAATTCGTATGTGATATAGATCCCGAATATTTGTTCTAATTATAAATAGCAAAGGAAAAAACATAATCATATTCTCTTTTATTTGTCAACCGAGTATTCTGTTTAATATTTTTTTTCAGTTACCTATTGATGAACTTCAGTGTTTTTATCTATATATGAGATTTCCGTAACTTTCCATCCGAGATACTTAAATTTAGACAGAAATCTATCCAGAATGGATTGATTTAACCAAAAACAAATGTAACTTTTAAATGCAACCCTGTAACGACTGAATTCCGAATGCACTATTATCTGCAAGCTTATATTCGTAAAAATTCAGTCTTGCTAGCTGCGGTGTTAAAATCGTATGCGATTCAGTATATATCGCTTCTGCCTCTGTATAAAATATATAAAAATATCACGTACTCATCACGTGAACTCCGAAAATATTCGTTCGATTAGACTATAAATGAGTCGACTATTATCAAAGCTGGCAATCTGACTTTTGGACAATGATGGGTAAATCAGAAAAACGAATTATTGACTTTGTATTCCATTGGCAGTCACAAAACACTTCGGAACGACATCTTAGATAAATAACAGGTTAACTATTAACCTTTGTTTAATGCAGGTTTTGAACCGTATTCTTTGAAGGAGACGATTATATTCAAATCAATCTGTATTGACATATCAATAATTTTTTTTTGTCCAAATGCACAGATTGCATTTAATAATAGACGACTCAAATGTTGGTCTAAACTGTCCCTTGTCGATGTAGGCGGAAAGATTTCTCATCTACCGTCGTTTACATATAGAGTGTGTTGCCATGGAAACCGTTGCTATAGGACTGTTATTTGATGGATCAGAGCGACACAATCAATTATTTATGGCGCAAAAATGTAACTAGCCTCGTTCTTTGTAATTTCCTAATAAAAAACGCGGGTGACATTCATTAGTATTGTATAAAACCAAGTCCCCCTCCCAACAGAAGATATGTAGGCATATTACAGCTGGTATTTAAAAAAACAGATTAAACTGTTATTCCGTTTAACCACCGCTCAAAAAATCAAAACAGCATAAAGCTGAATGAGAATAAACAACAACAACAAAATCCAAAACCCAAACAAAAAAATGAAACACAAAATTAAAATCTTTTTTTTTTATTGCCCTTGTAGGCAGACGAGCATACGGCCCACCATTTTAGAGGTACCTTTGCGTGTTTCGATTCAAGTAGGTTTTATGAATTTTATTTTATCCTAAACAGAATATGCATTATATCAAGTTTTGACGGCAAACCTTCTATGCCCCCATTATTATTATGGTTTTATTAAATTTTTAAACGTTTTTTACCGCTTACTTTTGGTCTGCGCCTTACAAAATGTGAACTAGGACTTTTGAGTTAAAAATAATTTTAGGCTGTTTGCGTCCAGCACGACCGTTCCGTGTGCCATTAAGTAGTGTAATTTAAAAAATAAAAACTTACAAATAACGAGTGAGATCCTCAATGTCAACGAGCATGGAATCTTGACCCATGTGCAGTTCGTCGCGAGCCATCAAAAGTTTCACCAGACTGTCGTTTAGCGATTCAATCTGCGAATGCAACTCGTTCACGATCACCTGAAACAAACAAACGATGTTACGGGTAATTGCATTATCATTCATCATTATCTTGCCCTTCTCCCAGTCACCTGGGGTCGGCGCAACATGTTTTCTCCTTCCATACTCTTCTATCATATACTATTTCTTCGCTCACTTCCTTCTTACCCCCAACCGTCTTGGATGAAGTTAAACGATACTCAGCCAACTATAAGAACCGCTTGAAAGCTCACCCAAACCCGTTGTCCAGCTTACTATTGCAGCCAAATCCGATTAGAAGACTCAAGAGAGCCGACGTGCTACCCTACTAAGGAGAGACGGAGCATTGGCTGTCCCTCCAAACCAATTGTTAAATCACAACTCACCTGATTATAGTCTTGGCGACTGATCGCAGGTGTTAAAGTAGAAAAAAAAAAAAAAAAAAAAAAAAAAAAAAAAAAAAAAAAAAAAAAAAAAAAAAAAAAAAAAAA